GGACTCAAATCTGGATTGAAGGGCCCTCTAGCAGTCAGACTAGAAAATCAGTCTCTTGGGTGGCATGTGGGGATGGGGAGTGTCTGAGTGTCTCGTTTCAGCATCAGTAAGATGCGGCTAACTGCTTAGCTTCCTCCTCTGGGCCTTTCTCCAAGGACACAGGAAGCTTTGGAGATTTGCTGGCCAGGCAGTGGGGAAAACTAAAGGCCTCCATCTACAAGGGGAATCCTTCCACCCAAGACCTCCTTCCATCAGCTCTCCGTAGAGGATTGCCTTAATGCCCACTCTAAAATCGGTCATTTTTTATTTTCTGCTATTTTTAAAAAATGTATTGGGGTGACAGTGGTTAATGAAATTATATAGGTTTCAAGTGTATAATTCAATAATGTCATCTGTATATTGCATTATATGTTCACCACCCAAAGTTAAATTTCCTTCCATCTCCAAATATTTGATCCCTTTTATCTCTACCTACCTCCCCTCTAGTCCACTGTCCATGTCCATGAATCTCTGAGTCTCTGTCATGTTAGTTTGCTGCTTTTAGATTTATATCCCACGTTTTTCGACTTTTTCTGACTTATTTCACTTAGCATGATAATTTCAAGATCCATCCATGTTGTCGCAAATGGCAGTAGTTCATCTCTTACAGATGAGTAACATTCCACTGTATATATGTACCACATCTTCTCTATCCAGTCAGTCATCTATCGAAGGCACTTCAGTTGCTTCCATGTCCTGGCCACTGTGAATAATGCTGCTGTGAACATCGGGGTGCATATATCTTCATGGATAAATGCTTTCAAATTTTTGGGGTACCCAGGAGAGAGATTGCTGGATCATATGGTAACCCTATGTCCTTACCTAGCAATCCCTTTGCTCAAGACCCAGAGACAAAACGTGCTGCCTGAGGGCGCCTCAGAAGGAAGCCTGGAGTGGTGCTCTTCTCCTGCCTTTTCGTTTCTGCTGGACCTGGGGCACCTTATAGGGCCCATTATCTCATCTGCCTCTTTTGGGTGGGGCCTAAATCAGCCCTAAATGATTACCCCATCCCTTACCCCCTGGCAGAAGGAGCAAAGTTAGGAATGTCTTTGCGTAAGATGCTATCATTTTCTCCAGCATTCTCTGAATTAGGTTCATGGTCACGAGTCATCCCTGATGCCTGGGATTTTCATCCAACCATGCTTAATACCAAAGTGTCTCAAAGCCGCTGTGACCTCAGGAGGAATATTCCCGGTTACATTTAGTGTCTTAAAGAAGCCTCCTTTGTGGCTATGTGAATCCAACTTCCAAGAGCATCCAATTTAAGCACAGGGCAGGCATATTTGCTTTCTCCCCAATGGTTGGACAAGTCAATTCACTCAGCAAAAGGGAAACTGGTGGTAAACCCCAAATGCCGGCCATTCAGTGCCACTTCTCTCATGGGTGTAGTTTCCATAAGCAGTTTAAGCAAGCCTCAAGGGAATCCTGTGACTATTGCTGGGAGTCCAATTCCATGTTAGTGTATTGAAGACTCTAGGGTTGTAAATCTACTCCCCTCCCCCCCCAAGCCCCTGGATGGTTCACTAAACATGACAGATTCTAAATCTAGGAGGTTAGGTTGCATCTACTGTTCCAATGGCACTTGGGACCAAGGGCTATTTTCTTTCAATGTCTTCCTTAAGGTTCACGATTGGCTGCCTTGTAAGAGTATCAAGCGATCAAATTGTCTCAACCTGCCTTACACCATAAATAAGCACCGCAATGATATGGGCATCAGATTTCAGCTCGGTTAGGTTTCCCACCACCACTCTAGGAGGGATGTCATCTATCCTTGGTATGGCTTAGTCTCTTTTGGAGTTTCCAAAAGGCCAGAGCTGGAATAAGTGGAGTTTGCCTCATGTTGGGCACCATCTGTGAAGCAGTGGGTGAAGGTAAACAGCACACCATCATGTAAAAGGAAAAGGTATTGAGGGAAAATTACTAGCAAGGTGAGTCAGAAAGAAGAGGCACATGGACATCCACTGTTCTCATGCAGAGACATGCAAAGGCCGGGGCACTGCTGGCTGTACCTTTGGGCTGTATCCCAGAGGAAAGACATTTCTTCTCTGGGAGTCTACCTGTCCATAGGGCAACTCTGATGACAGCCTTGCATGCAGAGGACCAAATCAGGGCTTAAGTGCCATCTGTCAGAGGAGCTGTCTGGGAACACAGGCTGCTCGCACCTGCGACCTTGTGGAAAGCTGGATTTGGACTGTAGGCCAGAAGTTGGATTTGGGCCCAATCCCTCCTGGTAGCTGGTCACCAGGCAACTTGACAGGGGCTCCCAGACTCATGGGTGTTCCCATCTTGTCCCTCCATACTTCAAACCCTTCACAGGCTCCTTAGTCTACTTTCTAATGTGGCACCGTAGGTCCTCCTTGGCATATCTCCAGCTCACCTCTCACTCCCTGCCCCAAATTCTGCATCTTAGGCTGAACTCTTGGAAACTTCCCGAATACACTTTTTCATGCTTGGATCAATGTCCCCAGCACTTTTTCTCCTGGCCAACTCCTCCAATCTGTCGTCCCTCATAGGTAAAATTTCACTTCACCCAAGAAGCCCTTTACTGACTCCACGGCACCCCTGACTTGGGTGTGCTTCTACTATGCGCTCCCACCTCACCTTGAGCACCTTAGCACGTACTGTACCATATACTGGAACTGCCTGTTGATTGATCACTCTCCCACTCATCACTGAACTTCTTGAAGGCCTGAAATAGGATCTTTGTATCCCTAAGAAGCTTGTGAAATGCCTGCTATTCAGTGAATGTTCAGTGAATATTTAATGAGAACCAGATGAAATCAAGTGGGTGGTTCGTTAACACTTACTCTGTAGCTCTCTCCATATAAAACATGAATACCTTATTAATGCGTATACAACTCTGGAGTTAGAATAATTTATCAACCATTTATTTAACCAACAAAGAAATTGAAACCTGGAGAGGTGAAATGACTTATCCAGTTATCACAGTGTAACTCTCCATGTCCCTATTATGTAGTATCTATGCTACACTTACAACTTTTAATGATATATATTTCTTGAGAACTAGTACTCTGTTCATGTAGTATCTTACAAGTTTAGATCTCCAGGGAAATCTGACAAAGATGCCTTAGTATTAACCAAAAAAGCCTTTACATTTGAAGAAATAACACCGGAATTATTTTTTTCCTCTCAGCATGAGTCATCCGAGTTCTGTATGATACTGAATAATGATAATAACTTCTAATTCCCAGGATTCTGTGTAACCATCCTCTGTTGACAATTTTCCTTCCAATTTTCAACCTACCCCTGTAACCAAGTGTATAGCATGCCAAAGTCAGTGGGAAGACCTTGAAGCAATCCATTTTGAGGTCTTTAAGCATTTAGGAGTTGTGGCTTGCAAAGACTTTTTAAAAATGCCTCTCCCACTAACATAAAGCTCCTTTCAAAAACAGACTCACAAATATAGAGGACAATCTGGTGATGGCCAGAGGGGGGTGGGTTGGAGGAAGGCGAGAAGGGTTAAAGAAGTCCAAATTAGTAGTTGATAGATGGGCACGGGGATGGGGAGCATGGCATAAGGAATGCAGTTAGCATTAATGTATTGGTTAGGTAGAGAGCCAGAGGAGAGAAAGAGCAATTAGGGGGATCGTTTTGTGAACTATATGTCTAACCAATGTACTGTATACTTGAAATTAATACAATTAAAAAAAAAAAAAGAATTTCTCCATTTCTTCATGCAAAGTTCTGACAGGAATGGAAAGACATTTTTAAAAGAGTCCCAAATAAAATATTTAAACACTCCTAAACAAACATACAGAGGAAAAGATGCTCAAGATTTAAATGCTGGTACCTGTTAAGCCTTTTGAGCAATCAAGTCTAGCATCTGATAATGGCTATTTCAGAATAACAGGTTATGACAGAGGGATCAGAGGATTATGAGGAAAGATGCTGTTTATGGCCATGAAACAAACTGGCTAATAGGGATCAAATCAGTATATTGACTCTAAAAAGGCACTAGATTCCTAGCCACCAGGAACTCTTAAGATCATGACCAGATGAGAGAAATGCCTCTGGGTGAGGCAAGTTGAACCTCAAAGCTGCTGCTGCCAACAGGCTGTTCACGTGTAGCACTGAAAACTACTGTGACACCAGGAACACCCAACCAAGTTACTTGAGGACTGTTTCTACTGTGACACCAGGAACACCCAACCAAGTTACTTGAGGACTGTGGCTCAAGTGGGTGGTTCGTTAACACTTACTCTGTAGCTCTCTCCATATAAAACATGAATACCTTATTAATGCGTATACAACTCTGGAGTAAGGATAACTTATCAGAACCAAAACCAAAGTAGAACAGGGAGCAAAAGAACCAGAAAAATACCAGAATGAAAAACTAGACAAATGGAAAACAAAGACAAATTTTTCTAGGAAAAAAAAATTCAATGTAGATGAAACTATCATGCATCACAGGATCATTCTGGACTCTAATGTTTTTGCCAGGTAGAACAGTGACTCTGCCACCTATCCATTTCTACCCCTTTTTTCCAGGCTGTGCCAGTTTCTCGAAGTGACCACAGCAGTCAATTCAGGCACATGCCACCTACAAAGCTGTCATTTATTTTATTACTGAAATATTGTATTTTCACCGCATAGACACATTTAATGTTTTCCAAACGGCAGGGGTTGTTTGTGTGTGCAGAGACAAAAATATGCATTTTATATGGTTTAGTGGTATTCTATGTAATTGTGTTGAAATCTTATAACTGGGAATATGCAAAATTATATTTTCATATATCAATGTTTTTGCCTTTTAAGGGTGCATAAAAGATTATTTGCAAGGCATGTATGCTTTGCATGATAAATAACTTTCCCCCTAGATATTGTTAATTTTTTCATTACATTTAGAAATTTAAGACCAGGAGCAAACATCTGTCAGACTAATTTTTTGCTTTTTCATAAGTGCAACTTTTTAATAAAAATTTACATCTAGATAAACAATCTTCAGATTTTTGAAACTTTAATAAGATTTTAAAAACATCATGACTTTGAACTGAAAAACATACACGTTTAGCACACAAATATTGTAATATGAGTCAACTCCAACTCCATTTGAAAACATGTGAATCAAATTACAGTTTTAGAAGTTAGTAGTTCACATTTAAGCAAGTTAGCGCCTTGCTGAATTCAGCCTTTGTAAAAAAGAGACTTAGTGCATATTGTAATGGCACAATGTGCTTTTGTACCATTTTGTTGATTTTTTTCACCTTATTAAACAAGATCAAGTTCTTGAAAGTTGGTAGATAACAGCTAACTTCCTATGACATGAAATTACCAATGGTAACAGTTACATTTTGTAACAACACTTTTCTATAGATTTCTTTTCCTATCTTAAAATTTTAAAAGCAATCATTTGTAAGGATTGCATCAACATCAATTTAGCAGAGAAAGATCAAACTTTATTGAAACTGCTTGCATACAAAATATATTGCACTATAACCAAACAAATGTCAACATAAAATCCAATCTGTTGTCGCTAATATGTACAGAGAATATTGCCCAAGAGCAGTTACATTACAAGGTCATTCTACCTTGGTTAATTATCTACAGTATTTTAAACCAAACAGCTTACAGATGATGTGTGCAAGGTACCAATTTCTGTTTTCAAATACTATACATTCCCAGAATAAATAACTAGAAATCAACATTAATGTTTGGCAATACTTTTAAAAGACTTTTTTTTCTTTTAAAGATTCTTGAGATCATGTGCAGTTGGTTGCCATTTTTATATGCTTGTTTGTATGCAAGGAAAAGTAACCGTAAAATGAAAATTCAAAGAAACAAACTCACAAAATATATCAGAGGCAGAACTTCGGTTTGTACGGCTCTGTACAGATTCAGTGGTACCCCGACCTGGAGTTATTTTTTATGAAAAATATAACATCTCAGAGTGAAGGTCCTTCACATATTTTTCTTTAGTAAATTTCATTAAAAAAAAAAAAAAAACAACTCAAACAAAACCAAAACCCGACATGTCAAATCAAAAGAAAAAAAAGTACTATTTGTTAATCAATTTTAGTATGCTTTCCAATTCTGCTTATACATTAGATCTAATATTTCCAAGTTTACAAAACATCTGACCTGCTTCCAATATTTCTTAGACAAAATACCTGTACTTCGCTTCGCAGGATTATGCACATATGGAAATGACCTTCCTATCTCTCCGAAATAAGCCTAAAATTAAAATATGAAAAAGTTCACAAAACGAGGGGAGGACAAAATTAAAAAGGCTCTAAGTTAAAACTGGTCATCAGGCCAAAGAGCAGGCATATCCTACTAACTTTCGACCAAAAAGATTTGTTCCTAGCTGAAAACATCTTAGCCTCTCTCAAATGAAAAGATAGTTATTTCTTCTCCTGTCTATACAGAAAAATTACACATCCCTCTCAATAACACTATTTGTCAAACTTCAGTGCAACAAAACATAAACAAAAACAAGTCCTATTCTTTATACTGCCTAACCTGATGTTTATGCAAGGAAAAAAATATGGAAAGCATGCATATTCTTCTATAAAGTACTAATGTTTGACAGGGTTTGCTACATCTTTAACATTTAGTGTTTCCCACTCATCTTCCCTGAACTCTGCATCCAAATATAATAATCCTACCTGCCAAGATATAAAAAAGGCACAGATCATACAACTTTTTTTTTTTTTGCTAATGAAAATGACAAACGTCACGTCACACACATCTCAGGGTCCACTAAAATACTGGAAAAGTGGACCAAAACATAAACTCACACAGGACATGAAATGACATAGTATTTCAATTAGATTGAAAACAGAAGTCTAGTATGATTACCATAAATGCTATTTATTCAGAAAAAACTGAAATGTACCAGTGAGTTATCACCCAATGCAGGAAAATGATCCAAATTAACAAAGAATGTCACTTTTCAGTACTTTAAAAAATAAACCAAACTCAAATCCTGTCCTTAAGTGCTAAGTATACTTAAAAGCGGTGTTTCAAAAATTTCAAGATATCTTTTTGTGCAAATCTGAAAATTGTTGCTTATGGCCAATAACAACAACAAAAAATTCTTAAACAGAATTTGTGTTCATTTCATGCCCTGTGCCATCTTGCCTACTATTTGTCTTTGGCCTAACAAAGTATTCTAATATGGAATAAGAATTACGGAAATGGTATAGGAAATATAACTTCAGGATTATGCAGTTTAGGGTACTCCGTTCACAAGCGGTTGCGGGCCATCCACGCTGTCTGGCTTTTCCTTCTTCTGGTTGCGGTCTTTACCCGTGCGCAGCCGATTACCTTCACTGGAGGTATTCTGTAATGTTTTAGTGTGGACACTCCTTTCATTATTGCAGTCAACTCTGATCTAAAACAAGTCATAGTTGTTATATACAAAGACCATATCCTATTGTAATCTGTAATTGGCCTGACAAGAAATTTAAGCCTGAAGTGTAAATTCCACACGTTAAAAGGGGAAATGCAAGTGAAAATAGAAGTGCAAGAAATTAGGTCAGGTAGGATCTTTATTTGGATTATGATTTTAAAACAATCTTCTTCTTTAACCGGAACACACTGGTGATCTCACTGCATCCAAAGTTAGTTAAAACTCACAAGTCTACTGTGTCTTCTTCTAAGCAGAATAAAACAGTGAGAAACAAATAGTTAAAATGAATTACTGTTACTGATTATAAGATATACCTGGCTATAATACTAGAGTTGAAAAGAATGAGTTACTCTCCAAAGATTATGAAACCCAGGAGAAGAGTGACAAATTAATGTCTTCCTATTATGACTTTATTTTACCAGGATAGTAACTCAACTAATTCCCTTATTAACTAGCCTTCAGTTTATACCTTTATATCATGGGTATGACTACATTTCTATATACTGAGGGCTCCCACTGTCTTATAGTAAAAGAATATGAGCATTGGTTTCTAGTAGCTTGTATTTCAGTAAGGCCAGTCAGATGAACAAAGAACTTGAACTCTGTCTGAATAACAAGAATGGTACAGGGAAATCTGAAGACACTAATGTATGGGGGAACTGGAACCGCAGGACGAGTGTAAAGATGAATGCAATCTAAAAAACGATATTGAGATTTATATAGTATTTTAAGTGCCAACACTGAACACTTAAACACTGATAACAGAATTCTAAATGCTGTACATATGAAAGATAATATTGACCAATGGGCCTAAAACAACAACAAATATTGATCTGCTCCAATTACAAATATATCCCAAAATGGTTCACTATAATTTCAAAGTGTGTTTAAGTGTTGGGTCTAGGTGTGTATTTTAAATGCTTTGTTGTCGACGGTTCCATGCTCTGATTTAGATCTAATCTCATACTTACACAGAACACACAACCTTTCTTCCAGTAGTCTGTTTTAATTATAAATATAATTATAAATATGCATCCTTTTAACCGATGGGATCAAATTGTCAAGTTCGTCGAACTGTCAGTTTAAGTAGGGAATTATAAGAAGCGGGTACATACAAATGCCTTACGTCTTTGTAAGGCACATGTAAGTACATATTTAATCCATCTCTTTATCTAGGTCTAAGGTCCTGTCTATGCTGGTCCTGAAGAACCCACCAGTAGTTAACGCCTACGTATAACAGCTATGAATTCTAAATAACATTCTGTGTGGGAGTTTCTGCTCTTAAAAAGTTATCTGTCACTAATCTTGGGTGCTGGTCCCAAACTAATCTACAGTCAAGGAGGAACCCTAAATAGCTGGATTAAGAATTAAGAATCAAAGAAATAGAAGAGGAGAAGATGGGTTCTAGAAATGAGACATCGGGGTTCGAATATCAGGTAAAGGACCACATCTTTCTAAATTTCAGTTTACTTACCTATGAAACAGAATAATAAAAGTACTTACCTCAGGGGGCTGCTGTAAGATTAAATTAGATAAAACACACACAAAACACTTAGCAAGGGTGTCTGCACAAGCTCAAAGCTAATTTTAAAATTATTTAACAATGAGTCCAGCCAAGGAGATGACTGAGATGGAAATCTCAGATTGGAGGCTGGCTGTAAACAAGCAGCTGACAGA